GCAACGATGCGCGAATCGCATCTGATACAATGAGTCTTCTTGTGTTTTTATTCCCGAACTCGACAACGACAAAGAATTTGATGACATTTCTCAAAAACTAATTAGATTTTCGCCAAGGGAAATGGACGTTAGCCACAATTAAATTGACCAATGATGGCACTTCAACGCAATTCAGTGCATCTCTCACGTTTATGTGGGTTGAAAACGAACAAAGGAAAGAAAAACAGTTGAAAATCCATTTAAAAGGTTACAAATTGTTTAAGAGAATTATACAGAAGAAATGTTCAATCCGTTGATTTGTAGATTGTGTTGCCGGTGCAGCCAATAAAACGTAATGCAATTTCAAAGGGAAGTTAAAGTCAAAGAAAGTTCGTTCGGTTACTTGATTCAATTTGATCATTACTTGATTTCGGTTAATTCATCACTGCCGCAGCTCTGATAAGAGCCACTTTAACTCCGTTTGAAGAATGAATTCGCTGGAAATGCATCGAGTTGCTTCAGTTCTTTAGCTCACCTTGAATCCTTTGCTCTTCCTTCAACTCTGTACTCTACTTCAATTCGGCTCATAGCTTCAAGTCAACTCAATTCCATTTAAAGCACAATTGAAGTATTGAAAAATCCACAGCAAAAATTAATGCCACTGAAACAGTGGTTTCGGTAACCATAAACGTCTTCGGTTTAGATGTCGTTACCGTTATTCCGCCCAATGAATTCCATCGATCGTATCATCGAATGTCATTTGCAATGACAATTTTACACGAAATAAAATAAATTATACCATCGTTTAAACGATGTTCGAATCCATTTTGCCTCATCAAATGCGCTGATGTTTATCCAAACAAACACGAAAAATAAACACGAAAATGACGACGAGCGGAAACACAGAAACGGGGAGGAATAAGAAATATTCGTTTCATTATGTATTATGAGCGTGTTCAAATATGACAAATAAATAGTATAAACAATGGAAATAAATGACTGGAATTCCGAAAAAAGGCGACAAAGAAAAAAGTCAAATGCGAGTGTGCTCTTTTGTCAAGGGTAAAAATGTATATATTTCGTGTGATGATTGCGATGAGCATTACTGTAAACGAAAAAAAAAGAAGAACGGATGGATGTGCAAACAAAGTTCATTGAACAGTGTTTGATTGCGTTTACCGATAAAATTATCGTTGAACGATGCTAAAGTATCACACGATGTATCAGTACCGAAACTAGCATGTGTTGATCGTTTAGCCAAACAAGCGACAGCGACAAACAGAAAAAAAAATCACGAGTGTCATGAAAAAAAAAAACAAAGGCAATCATTGCGCTCAGAAAAACAAACGGCAACATTCCAGTGTTTATGTCAGATTTCGTCGTTTCAAACAAATCGAGAACGAACACACACACACACACAACATTTGTAAATATGTTTAGAAAATATTTATATTCAAATTTTGTGCAAAGAGGAAAATAAAGAGAAAAAGAGATTCGATCCGAAGCCCGTATCATCAGACTGTTGACGAGCAAACAAACGAACGAACGAAAAAAACAGTCGCAGTCAAGTGCTGTTGAAAACGTGATGAAAATAAAACTTCAAACAAACTCATCTATATATGGTTTCACATTTTATCTGATTGCATGCCGCCGGCACTCATGATAACAGCGCATCTGATTTGCTTGGATCTCTTTTTTCCATCGAATGCATGAGCTTTGCTGTTCGTTCGTTCGCTCGTTCGTTCCGAATGTGTTTTTGGAGCTTTGTTTTATTATAAATTCGAGCTACTCGCATGCTTTAGCTCTATGCTTGTGCATCAAACGAGAATAATCGCATGGAAGAATATGCGAGGTTTTCTAATATGAAATTTCCTATGAATTCAGTTTGAAGCATTCCAAGCATACTCGATTGTAGTTCAAAATTATTTCCTCTGCAAATGACGACTTACCTGGATTGAAAATTATGCGGAAATCGAAAATTCTCTAACCAAAAACTTTTGCCGTCAACTTAAATCAAAATACATGCATTTAAATGGATGTGAAAGATTTGCGTCGATGCGAATCATTCGCTCCAGGACACATGGAAATCACACGTAACCGAAAACAAGAAAAAGAAACAACTGAAATGCCATTTCCAAGGATAATTCAAACTATTCTAAATATTTGACTCAAATCGGATATTTCAATCTGGCGCTTAATCGAAAGATTTCGACTGAAATCTGACGCAAAGCAAAGCATTTACTTCACCGAACCTTGTACCAAAAAACGGCAATGCAAAACAAAGAAAAAAAAACATTTTTCGACGAACGATAAACAAAACCGAAATTGGCGCACACAAACAAAAGGCAAAGAGAAAAGCCAGAAATTATAGGGCCTGCGGATGATTCAACAAGAGCCAGCAAAAAATATTGTTATTACACACAAAAATGATATAAAACGAAGCAAATCACAAAATATTATTAAAACTACACGGTCGCTACGTGTTCATTGTGCTTGGTGCAATTGTTAAGAATTTTTTTTTTGTGGCAGCGAGCGCGACGGTAACACTGACACTTTTGTTTGAACAGCCAGAGCAAGCGAACAAACAAATGAATAAATGAATAAAAGAAAGCCGTGTGATACAATGTCGTACAGCAGTCGTGAGATGATAAATTTTTTTTTTTTCGGCTGCTTATTTCGTGAACGAAAACATTTTTTTGGTCGTATATGTTTGATTTTTGGTGTACATTTACAGCGAGCATCCCAAAGGAAATTATGGCTTGTAGCTTTTCTGGGTTATTTTCATAATGTGCGCACATTGACACACACACACAGCGAGAAGGAAAGAGGGAGAGAGAGTAAAAAAAGTTATTGAATTGTGTAACAGAATAAGTGCATTTCGTTGGCGTTTTATGACAACCGCGCGATAAACATAATCAACGTTAAATTTATAGCAGCTAAATAATATATGCGCCATTCAAAGCAAACCACCTTCAACACAGTGCAAAGTGAATGTATGAGATTGAAAGCATATCGTGACGAAGTCGAACGGAGAGTGAGAGAACAACATTCTCACGACGATAAAAAAAAATTACTGTGCATTTCGGAGAGAAGGAATGGCTGAAGTGAAACAAAACAGAGAAAGAAATGCGCAAAGTGAATTAGAAAAGTGTTATTCCATCCATTGACTAACATCTTGAACTGACAATGTAACGAGAGCCATCAATGCTGTGGCTGATGGGTGATGCTGCCATGCAAAGGCTAATCAAAATTCAACTTTATTTAATATTTATTTCGGTTTTGTTGCATTGAATGTGAGTTTGATTTGCTTTTATTGACAATCAAATTTTCAACATTATGATCGGAATTCACGAGAGACAACATTGTGTTGTTGCCAACGTGCTCGTTGGCTGTTAATTTTTTTTTACATTGTTACACACTACACACCGCAAATTGTGTGGCCATTTGAAAATGATCAAAGCGTGACGGCAATTGCGGGAATTAAGTGGAACGCGTCCGAGAAAGATGCATTGCAAATTGGAAATAAGAAATAGTGACATTAAAGTACTTAAAGCGAGAGATTACGCGGATGAACATCGTATCGGTCCCATAAAAACCCGGCACAATGTTTTATCAATGTGGCCGTGATGAAAATCACGGAATTATCACTGTTTTCACACAATCGAAATAAAGAAATACGACTTGGAATAAGAGAAAAGCGTACGATTATTATTGCAATTTTCCTGGTCGTTCTTCGTTGGGCGTCGGTTTTTTCCCCCCCTGGTTTTGTTGCTGCTCTATTTTGTCAATATTTTGATTTCTTTTTATGCGGTGGTAGATAGAAGAGATAGTTCAAAAGGCAAAGCGAAAAAATATCCTGTGGATTTATCTTTACGGTTTATCGTCAACTGTGACATTGTTCCATTCAGCATCGTAAAAATATTGCCGATGAAGAAGTGCAAACGACATGACTCGCTCTTATCGTATTCTGAAAAAAAAACACACACACACACACACACAGTTCCAGCAAGTCGCAGCTCAGCGTATAAGACGATTTATTGTGTTGGCACCTCGAAATGACGCAAATGCAATTTAGCAAATGCACACGTGCTTTACATCTCGAGCTTCTGTAGCTGCCACTGCCGCTCAAATGCGAACATTGTTGCAAATCAAATAAACCATTTTCGATACCGAAGCCATCCCATAAATTTAAATTGTTTATCCTTTAAATGTGCTTATGAATGTTTATGTGTTTCTGGTTTGTTGCTCCTTCTGCTCTTGGCTCTGAGCTCGGGGCTCGTGGTTGTGTGTGCTTTCACACATGGCTGCCAAAGTGTCTGCGTGCCGACGACGAGTTCACATTGCCTATCTTGTCATCTACTGAATGAAGATCATGAAGCAATCAAATTTAGTGCTAATATTGTCATAAAAGACATTTTCACTGATATTATTTATATATACGAGATTAATTCGCGTCTCCTTCATGTATACTCACTTCCGTCTGCCATTTGCACTCGAGTCAATTCTTCAATAAAATATGAGAAAATAAAAACAAAACGCGTTCATCTCAACAAACCGCGTTATAATTTACTATTCAAATCGGAATTAAATGCAGTCTCTCAATATGAATGCTTTTGCATCAAAAATCGTTATGAAATTCTATTTTGAGTGCACTTCGCAGTTAACGTAGTGTCTCTAAATGAGAAAGCAAACTTTTTATAACACAATTTGTGTCTATTTTTCAACAAATAAAACTTTAAGAGCAATTACAAGCCAGATTTATGCAAACCATACACCTGCATAAATTGGTTAATTAGCTTAAAATTGTGAATGTTTTAAAATAGAAGCATTTATTCGCATTCAATTCGTTCGTTTTCCAAAAAAAAAAAAAAAATGTTTCAACAATAATGTTTCGTTGAGCGTTCAAAGCTAGCAATGCATTTGTTTTTACTGAGAATTAACAATTTTCCCAATTCATTTTTCAGCTTGGTATTGCGATTCAAAATTTAATTTATTCACTAATATTTTTGTATCATTTGCAGGTAAACAACACTCCACAGAGGATACAACCTCCGAAATAAGCGGTAAGTTGAGCATTATTCAGTTTTTGGTTTTTATTTCTGGTTTCACATTATTATTTGCCATAAGTCAGTTTCATTATTATTGAATTGTTTTTGCTCAGTGAAAATGTGCGCCATGTAGAGTGGTAACATTTTCAGATGCAAATTCAATTAGAAATTATAAATAGGATCTATCTCCTATTTAAAGCTGTATCTCGTCATCAATTAATTTTGAAAATGCTAAAATTAAATGCATCGTATGTCGGTTTTCCTCATCCCCACCGCATCAAAACAGCAGTTGAGTCGCACATTTCACATGGTATAGTTTTAGATTGTTTTTTTTCCGCTTTGTTTCTGTTCCGTATGCAGATTGCCTGTATATTTCACGCAACATTTTACCATTTTCAACATCACCATTAACCGAATTGGAGTTTGGTTTAAGTTGCTGTTACCAATGCATTTGCATAAAATTGTTGATTTCGTGTGCACTGACGGATGAGGGTGGGCGATTTGTCTGGTTAAAAACCGCACGCATTCAAATGAAGCACACAAACACACAACCGAAAAAAGGGAATAGAGAGTATAACATAATCAGATCGAAAAAAGCGATTTACTGACTCCGAAAAAGAAATAACAACAATATTTATGGAAATGATTCATTTTTATGGTGGAAACAAAAAAAAACAGTAGCAACAGCAGACGCTAAAATGTTTTGTACATGCAAATGATTGGTGTATTTTTGTTTTTGATATTTGGAACGTTGGTGGAAAATATGATAATCATATCTAAAAGAGGCGAATGTTCCGATTTTCGTATTTTGGCATTGATGGCGGCGGATTCGTCAAGTATTGCGTCTGTTCGCTCCATAATCATTTTAAGAAATGTTATTCCATTTTCATTCATTGAGGCCAAAAATTAACGGCCCGATAGCTCTCACTAGCTCGCACGCGCATTCGGCGGTTTTTCATCTATTTTCAGTAAAAACTTCATTCACAATATGTTTGGCTTCGCTTGTCGTTGTCGTTCAGTCAGTCAGTTTTTCAAGCAATTTGTATTGTCTGTGCAAATAATTCATCGCTCTTATTTGTTGATACCACAACGCCGGTGGCACAGCCAAAGAAGTGAGCGCGCGTGTAGAGGGGGCCGGTAGAAAAAGGAAGTTTATGAATAACAAGTGTTCGGTGAGGAAGCCAAAGAGAATACTATTATTTAAAAAAAATGGCACAAGGAAGAGAAAAAATAGAGCAACAGCGAACACAAACACAAAAATACCGTGCTGCAAAGCATACCACCAAGAGCTGAAATGAATAAATTTCATTTTGAAAGTTTTTCGTAAATTTTATTCATTTATTCCAATGAAATGTATACGTTCATGTAGTTCTTATCGTTATCATTTTTTTTTTCCTTTTTGCCAGCTTTTTGTGTCTCTCTCCCGCTTGTTCGCTCACTCAAAGCGCACACACAAAACTACGAAGAAAAGCCACCGCTGAAATATTCATCACGTTAAAATTGTTTTTATGGTGGCAACTAACTATTTCTACATTGGCTGGAAAATTAATTTTCCTGACTTTTTTCAACTTTAACGTGGCGCACTTTGTTTTCCGCGTTCTTCAAACCGGAACTTAGTAGCTCTCTTCACTTGTTCGCTGCTGTTTTATTTTCCGCTCTCTCTCTCTCTCTCCCTCTTTCTTCAATTTCTTTATTTAGTTATAAAAACGGAGAATATAAAACGCAATTATGTAATAAAAGTGAGCGACTGCGTTACAATCAACTTTTGCAAAACCGTTCACTCGACAAAACAAAGAACAACTGAACGGGAGTGAATTTCATTAATAAATACGTAATAACTTCACATTTATTCAGAACAATCGATGTAGCAAAGGCAAAAGCAACGGTAAACAAAAAGCCTACAAATTAAATATACCACCAGTCATAAATCATTTAGCGGAGACACCCGTTTTTTTCTCTCTCTCTCTCTCTTCTGTCAGTTCTGGGCGATGATGATCCAAAAGCAATGCCAAATTGAAAATTGCTGCTCCATTTATCGGCACATTGTTTGAACAAAGCGAAAAAAAGTGGAAACAATCGAATCGTTGCGATGACTCGTGCATAATTGAAGCACAAATTGATTAGTACTATCAAATGATCAAAAATAATGGAAAAAGTCGACCGTGCACAAAAAGCGTAAAAACGGGGAAATTGACATTGAAAACTGAATGCACAGCAAATCACTCATATTTGCATTATAAATTGGTTTTAATTACACACATTAAGCAAACTAGTTTCGATTGTCATCGATTACCATTGCAACTTTCTTCCATTTTGATAAATGCCCCGATTTTTTTTTCTTCTACTCCACAGAATTGAATTTACCTCGTTTCGCTGAACCAATACCAAATATCACAGTAACAATCGGCAAAGATGCGCTACTAGCATGCGTTGTAGATAATTTGAAATCATATCGGGTAAGTTACGATCAATTATTTTTCTCTATTCTTCCGTTTGTGTTATTGAAGTGGTGTTTTGTTTGATGTTTTTTGTTTTTCTTCGTTTCGATTCCGTTTTGTTCCATTTTTTGAAGCGGTTCAATTCGTTCCACAACAAGCTCATTTGTTGACTCGATAAGGGGATAGAAAACAAAAAAAGGCACTTTTTTACTGTCTGAATTAGTAAAATCGCAGGTGTTGAAATGAGGTCGAGCTATCATTAAGCGAGAAGCAAACGACCATTTAAAAAAAAAACAGATAATTCCGCATTTGTTATGACAATAATTTCGAATAAACAGCTTTTTTGTTCACATTTTCATGCTTTTGAATTGCAATCAAACAACTTGTAGCATCTGGTTTTTGCCTGTGGAATTCAATATTGAATCATAATTTGTTGCTTTCGAATAAAATTCAATCCGAACGAAATTTTCCGCATTTTTTCGTTTAGCTTCCATGTTTATCCGGTTTTTGGGTTCCACTCCCTTTTTTCTTCATCTTTGTCTTCATCCTCTTTTTCTCATTCTTCTCCTGTGCTTGAGTCAAACAAACAATAACACATAAATATACAAAAAAAAATGTGTTGATATATCAAGTAAATATGTGTGTTGCCCGAGCGAGAATGAAGGGTGAAAAAAGCATCAACAAATAATATGAATAAATGATTGGCAAATTCGTTGTAAACAACAATGACATCCGAATAAATGGAAAATTCGAGCAGAGACTAAGAAGAAGAAAAAAACGGAAACGATTTCGATCCCCATTTCGAAGAATGTGTGGCAAACTAACAAATTGGTATTGTGTAAATATGAGGAGCATTTCTTGTGTTTACTTTTGTCTGAAATTGGCTTGGAAATTGGCTGGTTGAACAAAGAAGTGTCCACAGTGAAATTGGACTGGAAAATGGGAAGTACAAACAAAATTACTTCACGAATCGAGAGAGATGTATTTGCCGAGGTTTTCAGTTGTAAATACACAATCATTGCATTCATATTAAATAAATAGATAATCATAAGAAAATGGTATGGCCAAAAATATGCGCTACTCGAAGTAAACATACACACGTGTGGCATGCACACACACATACAAATCGAATAAGCAGGTAATATTGTAATTGGATAAACTTTACCTCTCACGAGAAATGCTTTTGTCACGAAGCAAAAAAAAGGGCGATATTTCAAGTGAACCCTGTTTATCGCTGTGCTGAGAGCTGAAGCAAATAAAGAATTGCATGAAAAATGCAGTTTTCGACAGAAAATAGAAACTATCGAATGACACGAAATCAACACTTTTTCCGAAGCAGTTTTTTTTTTGCTCTGTCGTGTAGCTTTCTTTTTCGAAAGTTCGCCCAAGTTATCAGGTTTGGAGATTTGCCACCTTGAACTGCAGAGAACTATTTATAGTAAGAATCCTTCGATCCCAAGAGAATGCGGCCAATACAGTGCATTCCGAAGGTGACGACGGAAGTACCATTTTCAACACTAAACATACCGAGTTAACGCTAATAATAGTACACGAAAATCGTTTATCCATTGTTATTGTTCGAAGGAGACGGGGAAAAAAAGCACCGACTGCAGTATGATTTCATGTCAAAATTAAAAGAAATTGATTCGATTTCAAGTTAAAAAATTCCAACGACTCGAACTGTGAATTCATGTTTAGATGAAATGAAAACATCCACATCAGGGGTGCCATAAACGCTATCGGCAGAAAATTTATTTGTTACAACGTCACATGATGCAAAAATGCAGTAATCTCAGATGAGATTTACACGGGGCTCCATTAAGAGGAAATGAAATTTTGTGCGGCGTGCAACTGCATATCGATCAAAGCATCGAATGGAATCGAATGCATCGCACGGAGAAAATGTAAACAGTGATCCAAACCATTTTAAAATGTCACGCTCACTCCTCCAGCACTCCGCACAATTCACGTCAGTGGTGATTTATTGGTGTGATCAGGAAGAAAAAAAATCATCGCTACTCACTCACACAAAATGTGAAATGTTTCGCGCATTTATTGCATTTAACATGAAATTGATTTCCATTGCTGGTGCCGATATATTTGGTCGCATTTGCACAGGGTGATACTGTGAATTTCACTTTTGAATTGTACACAAAAACATTTTCTAGAATTTTATTTCATTTTGCGCACGATTCCCGGAAGCTTTTTGCATTGTACTCACACCCTATTCAAAACATAATCGCCATTATATTAGATTTACTCGGTAACGGGTTCAAAATTTTGCTTGCGATAGCAGTGCTGTGGAACACCGGCTGCGGCAATGGAAAATATAATATTAAATACATTGAATAAAAGTAAATTGCACAGTGCGCAGGCGCACACACAAAAATTGATGCCATCGAAACAATATTACAGCCACGAAGTCAGCATTCAATCATGGAGGCAAGAGAGAGAGCGAGATTGATATAAACTGGCACAGACGCAGGCATAAGCAAAATCAAATTGAATATTGATGATGAGAACTTGATTCCGCTCACAAATAGAATTAGCGATGGGATGGTTCACAATCACAAAATATACTGTCACCGAAAAATCCATTATACGCTTGGAAATTGCATTGCCGAAATGAACGCGAAACGATCAGTCGAAACAGCGTTTGAATTTTTGAACGCGTCTCTCTCTCTCTCTCTTTCTCTCTCGCTGTCGCTCTATTTTTCGTTTGGTCCAGTGTTCTGTGCACGTATCGATCAATCCATTTGGAAATGGAATTCCGGCCGGAATTCATATGCTCAATGCCTTTATGTGAATGACAGTTTTTCAATTGATAACTAAAATGTCAAATGTCTTTTCAATTTAGCAATTAAACAATGGCGCCCACGTCATTCGGATTTTCGACAATTCACTCGACACATAAGATACACACATTTTACATCCATATTTAGAGATTTTCCATTTGCAATGTCCCTCTGATTAATAATAACTTATTTATTTTCCATTGCAACACAATCTGAAGGTGGCTTGGGTTCGTGTAGACACACAGACTATTCTATCTATTCATCACAATTTAATCACACAAAATCATAGGATTAGCTTAACTCACAACGACCATAGGTCTTGGTATTTACATATTAAAGATGTGGAAGAAGATGACCGAGGATGGTATGTAACATTCCATTTATTACTTTCGATGAATTGCACATTTTTGAACGAAATTGACATATTTATTTGTGACATGCTTTCAAAATGATTTTCAGGTACATGTGTCAAATCAATACGGGTAAGCTTTTAACCTCATGAGTCATCAATTATTTGATTTATGACTTTTTTGATTGCAACGTGTCGGTTTTTTGTTGTTGCATTTTTCAGATCCAATGCGGTCGAAGAAGGGATATTTACAAGTAGTCGGTATGTAATTTTGGTTTTAATTTGAATTTTGTCATTTTTTGATAAGAATTGATGAATTTACAGATTCTGCGTTTAATAGCTTAAAATAATATCGAATTCATCAAAATTAGTCGGAAATAATTCATCAAAATCAATTTCCATTTTCCAGTTCCGCCGATAATTGTCGAATCATCGACAAGTAATGATATGGTGGTTCGTGAGGGCAGTAACGTCACATTAGTCTGTAAAGCGAGAGGCTACCCTGAACCATATGTATGTAATAATAATTTAAATATATTATTCATGAATTTACTTCCATTACATTCATAAATACATATGCGCTTTGTGTTGAAAAAGGCTCAATGCCATTGCCTGAATTTTGTTTAATTTAATCATATCATAAAATATAAAATTTCAAGCTTAATTCATTCATTTTTCATAATAAAACAGGTAATGTGGAGGCGGGAAGATGGTGATGAAATGACGATAGCTGGTCAAAGTGGTATGTAAACCTCTGGCAAAAATCTCTTTCTCTCTCTTGCTCTGAATTGCATTCCAAACGGCGTGAAATTCAACCATTGAAATGCTTTTGCACCGGAGTTTATTCTACAAATGCACCACATATGTGTGGAAAAGGAACGAAAATGAATTCACAATGCAAAAATATCCGGCATGAATGCGTTTTTGGACATTTATTGGGATTCAAATTCCTCTTAATTCCACCTGTCAATTACTCCTGCACAGACACTCTCCAATGAAAAGAATGCCAAAAATTCGAGCGTAAATATTGTTTTCTCATTCAATCTGTTTATGGCGGATTGAATTGTTAATATATCGACTTTTTGAGTGCATTTGCTGTTGTGCAACGTCCAAAAACCGTCTGTTTTATTCTCCGGTGCATTGAGTGTGCTCCATTTGAATTGAATTCACAATGAAATGCAATAAATTGGTGAGTGTATGTGTCGCTCTGGTGAATGCAATAGATGATTGCATTCCAATTGAAATTCATGTTCGTTGGAGCGCTTTTTTCGTCGTCGTCATCGTCACTGTTGTTTGGATTTGATACTTGAAACTTTAATAATGTGGAAAATATCACGATGGTTTTTCATTTGCAGTGAATGTAGTTGACGGTGAAATGTTGACCATTACAAAAGTGAGTCGATTGCATATGGCACCCTATCTCTGTGTAAGTATTCGATTTTTGTTGTTGTTCGGTAATCAATTGTTTTATGAACCGAATTAATTCGTCAATGGAAATGGATTTAATTTTGTCCGAATTTTTTTATGGATTTTTCGTCTCTTTCTACTCAATACGAAGGTCGCATCGAATGGAGTGCCTCCCTCAATCAGCAAACGAGTACTATTACGCGTACAATGTAAGTTATACACATATCATCCCGAACCAACTCCATGCACACTTATCTTAGTTTACATAGCAATTCATACATTTTCAATTGCCAACGTACCTATCGTTTTTCCCGTTTGCATTTAAATTTTACATTTCGTTTGTAGTTCACTTGTCGCATTGACAGTGTTTTCTGCATGTATGTTTTGTGTGTGTGTGTTCTCTCTCGTTCTTTTGTTATTTTCAGTTTTGTTGTTAAATTTAAATGTTCCAAATGCACAATACAAATTGTACACCGTGAAAAATGAGAATCACCAACATGAATTTGCTCAAAAAATGCGATGCACAAATACACAATGCAATCCAAGCCGAAAACAAGCATACTTGCACACTGAATCGTCATCGTCGTTGTCGTCGTCAATATGAATATGAATGAAAATGACGGTTGGACAGTGATTCGGCAACGTGCATCAGGTAGAGAAAAGGATTTGAAGTAAAAATAGAAGAAAAAAATCCCGTTGATTTTGATAATATGCACACGTGTGTTACCCGAGTGCTGTGTTACGCTTTACCATAACAATGTGAGCTTTCTTCCTTGCCATCGTTGTCGATGGATTTTTGATGCACTAACGAACATTAACAATGAACACTTGTGCCCTGAATTTGTGCATGTGCATACACACACATACAATTGCATGCACTTTATCGAGAGTATGATTTTGAATAAAAGCTGAATTTGAGTTACAGTGAAACCCGACACGAATGGTAAAAAGTGTGGGCGAAATAACGGAGAGCGGTAGAGAGACAGAGAGGAGAAGAGAGAGAAAGAGAAGTTGGCGATGTGGAGAGCGAGAAAGAGACAGTGAAATAGTCAATATGGCCACGAATCAGGAAATCAAAAGACCAAAAGCGCTGAATAGATGCACAAACACACACACACACACACACACACACACACTCGATTCACTGTAACTTTCATTGCAGCCCGTTGATTCTTACAGCGCATCATGTTGCACACATAATTTGGACGGAATGTGAATCTGGTTGCCGCGCGCGTACAATTGTAAACGATCACGTCCATGATTATGCTTACCTTTAATGTATACACTCACCTGATACGCTACACATTGGTCCACACTTCAGACAAAATATTGCATTCGCCATAAAATCCCGAATTTTCATGTCAACTCGATTTGCGTGCGTGGATGCATGAACCGAAGTTTTCATGGCTTATCAATTGACATTGCTATGGCATAGTGACGCTATTTACTAGTTTATTTTCATTCTGTACACGGTCATCCTCTCTTCCTCTTTCTCTCTCTCTCTCTCTGCCCCTCTCGCCACACACTATATTTTGAATGCGGTTTTACAATACTAACTTCATGCCATATTTTATGCATATTCGATATTTTCCATTCGGCAAATATTCATGAGCTCGAACATATCGGTTTTGTTCGACTAAAAACACACACACACACAATCACACACAACAGACACGTAACCTCCACCATATACACAATGTTTGAACATTTTCAATTCGAAAAATAAAAATCCCATATTTTCTTTGTGCTAATAAAATTCTCGTTCTCCCATGTCACCGTCACCGTCGCCGTCGTCATCGTTATCGTTCTCATCGTCGTCGTCAATGTTGCTGCCATTGGTTCCATGTATACACCAGTTCCGCCAATGTTATCTATTCCAAATCAATTAGAGGCAGCATATCAGGGGCAGGATGTTACATTGGAATGTCAGACAGAGGCATACCCAGCATCGATTAATTACTGGACCACTGAGAAAGGTGATATGATAATATCCGGTGAGTAGAAATTCCGAATTACATTTTGATGTTAGCGGTTATTTCTTTCGTTTCCCTTTATCTCGTTCGTTTGTTACATTATGCAGGGCTATGATCTTTGACTTTAAGCTTAACTTCATTTATATGCGATTGGGTGTTAACTGTCCAGCCTCTCCATTTTGGAAAACACGGCCGTTGAAATAGTGCGATTCTTTTTTTCGGTTCACATGTGTCAGTTGCATGTCTATATGTCAGTCAATAAGATTGAACTCATTGCCGTTCAAAATGTCGACCATGAATACTTAACATTTACTAAACGACTTCCTGAAATCTTGACGCTGTACATCGAAATGCAAAGTGCATGTCAATTTATTGAAGCACATAAATCATTCATTTATGTCTAAAATGAGAAGCTTTCACCTATATTTATTGGGTTGACATCATAAATCTTTCGGCAGCCGCATATATTTTGCCGTTTGTCGATGGAATTTAAAATAATTGAACAGTGTAATTGTTTTAAGACACGAAAATTGCCGAAACCAAACCTGTCACAAGGCAACTTACGTTATTCATTCGAATTTTGAATACGTTCACACATTTCTATCAATGTCGTATTTCGTTCGATCGGGATTATTTTTTTTCCTATTTCGATCGTTCTTTTGTTATTTATTGCGGCAGCAGGAGACATGCATTCATTTGAATGTGGAATTATTGTGTATCGTTCAAGTGGAATAACAATTGCGAAAAGTATCGGAAATATTCCGTGTTTGCACGGAGTCATTGAGCTCAAGTGTGTTTGTGTTTGCGACACAAGAGCCCAGATGCACCGGTGAGCAGGAGCGAGCGAGAGATAGAGAACAAGAGCTCTGCACCAAAATAATCACATTCGATTGCCACTCGGGGCATGAAAGCGAGAACGAGAGCGAGAGCGAGAAATAGAGGGAGTGAGAGCGTGAGGGCAAAGCCTTGTACTCGACATTCGAATCGATTGACGTTCCATCGCGCTTGAATCACACTTTATTTGATAACGTGATAACATACAGTATGAAACTCGGCTATTTGCATTTAAATTTCCCGTATGACTCGGGATTATTAGCGTATATTATACGAAAATTGGTAGCAAACAAATAATAACAGTCATAAACTGATGATGTATCAACATACTCGAAGTTAGAACTCGGTAATAGTTTGAACACACCAGGCAGTACCAGCAGTAGCAGCAGCACCGCCACAACTAGATGGATGGCACTTAAATTTTATCGCCGTAGCACATACACACAACTCAGTTGAAGCACATATTGAAAGTTTTAGCGTTTGCAAAGACATATGCAAATGCCAGTTTCGACACACACACTCATTCATATATATGCATAATTTCGAAAAGTTTGGTTCATTAAATGCCATTTTATTGGGACTAAAGAGCAAAAACATTCGATTAGATGTTGAGTGATATTTGCATTTGCGAATTTTCAAGTATTTAGTTCGATGCTAGAGCCAGGGAGTTTTATTTATGGCAAGTTGATTAAGTGGAGTGGGAGTATGTGTGCTCGGGAGAGAGAGGGAGAAAACGAGGGGAAGAACACCGAAAGGGTAGGTCGGAGATACTCGTTTATCAAAATGACTCTCATACCGAATTTATTGGCAAAGTCATATTTCCATAGGCGAAAGAATGTGACCGCCGTTCACTGAATCATTCATCATCACATAGCGATTGCATTGTTTTTGTGCAATGGGCTTGCCATTAATAATGGTGAAATGCGCGAGCCACAACATGCTTTTTATGTTAGCTATTTTCCGACTGCTTTCATTGCAATTCTGCCATTTCATCAGAGATGCACATCAACGATAACTAAAGTGCATATATATGACCCTTGAACGCTGGAAAACACTCTTGACAATTTTCATTTGGCTAATTTATCGAAATGCTTGAGTCTTGAGTAAATCAACTGCATTGTTGTGCACAAACATCGGTCAAATTTCAATAGTTCGAAAACTATTCCATCGCATCGGGATCAAGCGATGCTCGATTGAAAATCAAAATTAATGAGCTATTTACTGTAGCGGGAGACAAAAGTTTATGTTAAACTTCTCTTGTGTGGCCGCATTGTAAAGCGAAGCGAATCGATCGATCATTCGACACAGATTAGCAATTAATATAACAACTAATTAGGGATTTGGCACATTATAAATCATTCCATTAAGTTCCCTTGGGTGAAACTACTAAATTAACATTGAATGAAAACTCTATCTTTTTCCCTGCTCTCACTCTCGCCAAACTCTTTCCATTATGAAATATTCACTTGATTTTTCATCATTTCGGGATGTGTTCATTGGCATGGTCGTTCATCCAAAGCCGCATTTCATTCTAATTACAATGTTTCATCAATAAATGCTTTACCAAAACTACCAAATATAGATTTTTAAGCTGAATGCCAGTGAACAGCCAATATCCATTGTTAATTTCGATTAAGTTTCCGAATTATTCGTTTCATGTGAACAATGTCAATTATTATCATATCATTGGCTTGTTCGGCATTCGTGTTAAATTGTAAATACACGAAATGTGCTTTAAATGGTTCATGTTGACCAAATAATAAACATGCTGATAATTACTTTGTAATTTGTTTCGACCAATTTCTATGTTTAATATTCAAATATATATATATGTGTGTGTATGTGACGATGGTTGGGCCCAATAAATTTTCCAATTGCTTTGGCATTTGTCGATGTCGAAAATCATATAGTACAACAACGGAGCGCAGTCAGACCTTGTGATATTTACCTAGAGTTATCCGCAAGAGAACAAACGATCTAGCCATTAACTAACACAAACACACGATGCTCCTTACGGAGTAGGCGCTCATAAACTCACTGAGGCCAACGTTTTTCGAAGCCAAATGGATTCAATGAGCTGTTGGTTTTTCCACTTGTTTAACATGTGTTTGCATTTACCCTCCTCACTCTTGCTTTCCCTCGCTCTCTCCCTCCATTTACCTATCACTTGGCTTGTCTAAAGTTTCTCGATTTTCACTTCACAAAACGATGTTATCATGTGATGAATTATATATATCAAGAGTAAAACCCAATGCCACGAGCCTCATCCAAAATTCAAGCACTTTTCAAATTAAATTAAAACTTTTTAAATTCTTTGAAATTACTTTAACGATAGAGCCCGGTTTTTCGGTTAGCAATATATACACCAGCAGCCCAGCACACATCAACTACAATATTTTAATAGTTTGTTACCTCATCGAGTGAAGTGTAGCTGCTCGTTGAATATGCATTAAATTAAATGCGTTAAGATTTTCCGTTGTCCAACTTGACCAAAACATTTTGATAAATATCCCGATAAAACACATACACATCGAGCCAATGAGCATACATTACTTGTTTATCCAATCTTGATATCGATCCATTGTTTTCGGTCAACAGAAGAGAGTCATGCCTTCTACACTGATTTACTGTCTGCCCGTTTTGGTATTTCGAATTTATCTACGTTTTGTTGCAAACACTAAATCGATACAATAATGATGTGTCCATAAACGTTTTGAAGCATTGCATGGGCAAACTGGGCAGTTTGCTATTCAATTTATTGGATGTCGAATAAATTCGACACACAATATCGATTATGGCAAATCACTTAAATAAATGCCCGCTCTTAGTCTTACTTTCCTGTTGCCCTTTTCTCAATTACACTCGCTCTCGTTCCGTTTTATGTCGAGCCTGCCCGACCGTATGCCCGCCCAACAAAAACACTCTCATCTTCAATGGGCCACTAAAGATGAAAAGTGGTGTATCTATGATAGCGGCTATTGATTCTCCTAATAAAATTGTTCCGGTGCACGAAGAGGCGTGTGCATCGCACGTACGCAACAACAACAGCACAACACTAAAGAAGACCTTTTGTTTTTTATCTATTTAACCTATAATAAGGTTCAAATTAGTATCAAAAATGATGTGGTTCATTGTCTCGAACGGAAATCCGCCAATATCGATAAAATCAAATTTGTTTCCGAGATTTCAATCAAGTTGCGGCAACAACCGAAAAAAGGCTTGAAACATTTTATCTCGTTTTCGATGGAAAACCGTTCGTCTATTTACTTTTCAATCATTGACGTTTCGGCCACAAAATCACTAAGGGCATTTATTGTCGGAGGATGAAAAAAAAAACTGTTTCCCCAAACTTCCACGAAAACATTATCGTCGTCATTTTTTGTTGTGGGTTTGAGTGGCCAATTTTTGTTTGGTTTGGTACGAAAAATCAAGATAAAAGATGAAAAAGTTACGAAAATTCGACGAAAAAAAAAGCACAGCGAACAATTGAATTAGATAGTGTTCCAGGGTGAGATGTGATTTTACGAACAAACTGAAACATTTTTCGATGCTTCAGTCAATTTAGAGACGTGTATACGGCTTCAAAAGCATATCCTCTTTGTATCTGGTTAACTTTGTGTCTCAATTTTCACAACCGAATCCGTGTTGTACTCTACTCGGCCTCGACCGCTTTGCAACACACTTTGGCTGCGAGAAAAATGCGAAGCAAAGCAAAGAGACGAAGTAAAAGAAGATAAACGTAACAAATCTACCTTTCCATCATTGAATGATAAATAACATAAAATATTTCAAGCGATTCGTTATTCGGTGAGTAAATAAAACGCATTTGCGCGTCGAACACACGGAGAACGAAGACATTTGTTCGGTTGTTGTTGTGTCGATGTAAAGCCGTTTGGATTTGCAACGATAAAGAAAAACGATATCTCTAAATAGCTACTCGAAGGCGGGCAAAAAAAGAGATAGAGATAGAGAGAGAGAGAGAGAGAGAGAGAGAGAGAGAGAGAGAGAGAGAGA